CCATTTTACACACCTCACTGCTCTCTTTTCATTGGGTATTAATTTTGCTAATGTTACATAGAAAGAAAACTAGCTTAAATCAACATCCCAGCAAAAAAAGATCCCTCGAGACCAGCCTGGGCTACAGAGTGAGCTCAAGGCTAGGCTGAACTGTACAGTGAGACCTTGTCTCAAAAAAAAAAAAAAAAAAAAAAAAAAAAGAAGATCCTACAACTTCCACTAAACCAGGGTCTTAGCCTCAACTCATTTCAACATGCGTTTTTGGTGTCTCTGTCCTGGGCAGGTGACCAGGGATCACAGATGAATAAACTTGCTTAAGACTAGGGTTGTTCGTAAACTATGATGTATGATTGAAAAATGCAGAGAATTTTTAATTCAAAATACAATCGATCACAATAAAGGACACATTGCCGTCCATCCCCTCAAAATGCTCCTGCTGGACTTGAACACACGCATTCCATCATTCTCGCCACTTTCTGCAGCGCTTCTGGAGCCTTCATCCCCGAGGGTCCTCAGCTGCACTGTGTTGACTGCCCTCAGTGCTCTGAACTGATTCAGAATGTTGACCTTGCGTGGCCATTTCAGCTTTGGGGAAGAGCCAGAAGTCACGCAGTGCCGGATCCCGTCAACAAGGCGGACGAGGACACATCGCAACATTTTCACCAGCCTGCCTTTGCAGTGGAAGGTGCTTGTCAGGCAGCAGCATTCCCTGCATGTGATCACACAGCGTAAAGACTCTCAGGGAAGAGAGCTCCAGAGGGGCCTCAGAAAGCTGCAGGAATGATGGGAGAAGTGTGTTTGAAGGGAGGGGGGTAGCGTGTGAATTAAGGCAGTATGTCTTTTGCAATGATGAAATTTTTAACATTCACTCTATATTCTGATCACAACACACGCTGTGTAAGTGGTCAGTGTGAACACGCGTGGTTATTCTCCACCTGTCCCCAGAAGGCCCTGGGGAGGAGGTGGCAGGAGGGACCTGGCCGGGCACACTCAGACACTCAAGCAGTCCGTGCCAAGTCGCTTGTTCTCTCCTATAAATGCTTCCACCCGATTCAGTAACTGCTCTCTCCTTCTAAATAACAAATGATTCTTTTAAGTTAAAGTGCATCTATTGAATTACCTTAATAAAGTAAATGCAAGACATGTCCTGTAGCCACTAAGTCACCTCTGCTGTGCATGGAGAAATCAGTCCTGAGACTGAGAATGCAGAATGGTGTACGCCTCATCCCCTGGGAGAAAACCCGGGGCAAGGTGGCCAGTCCAGGCCTGGTGTGGGGGGTGGGGGAAGCTGACTCCACCCAAAGATGAAGCTTGCCTTACAGGGCTGACCACTACTTCCTTGTGTCTCACCCGTGATTAAATGGTAATTAAGCTTTGATGAAAAGTGTTCACTGACTGCACCAATATCACTGCAGCTGTCGGATGGGGTCCCCAGGGCATGCTGGGCAGGGGCAAAGGTCTGTCACTCCGAGGCCTGATGGCCCTCGCGCCTGCAGCCCTTCCCCAGGGAGGGGCGCCTCGCAGTAACATGGACATGGGCATGTGCAGGGAGCAGGGCGTGAGCTGTGTAGGCCGCACTGGCTGTGACCAGGGACACACACAGATCCAGGGACCGGCAGCCACCACCCCATCTGCTCCAGAAAGAGTGCTCCTGTCCCAGCAGGATGTAGAGCAGGGAGAGAAGGACCATTCTTAATGAAATCAGAAGGTTTGTAGGTGACAGCTGCAGCTATGCTCATTTAAGAAATGAGGCTAAGCTTTGTAACATGAAAAGGCCCTGCCTGGTTTCCAACTGGTATCAAAATATGAACCTCTCAGGACGAAAACAAATGCACAAAGATCCAATCACATTTTCTCCCCTTGCCGCCCGGGGCATGGGCCGGGGAGCCCACGGTGAGGCCCGGCAGTCTGCCTGCGCAGGGCGGACCTCCCCGCCGTCCTCGGCCTGAGCCCGAGAGGTGCTTTTCTGCCCAGTGCCACGAGCGAGGAGGTGACAGTGCTCCCAACCTGCCTCACCCGTTCCCACTGCCCGCCTGGGCCAGCAGCCACGCGCTGTCGGATGTCCACCCCCTGGCGTGTGTTTCTGTCACACACTGTTTTCCCTTCCTTCCCTGGCTGTTTAACGAGCTTTTCCCTGCCAGGATTCCTCATGGGATCCTCCTGGCTCTTTGGCTCACGGGGCTCTGATACATCTCTGGAAGAGCCGGGGATCTTTCCTGACACCCAGACCGCCAGAGCGATGGAGGCAGTGCAAGGCCGGCCCTGCTCTCGGAGGAGCGGGCTGGAACCTAAACTTCCTAAGCTGCTGTCCAGCTCCGGCTTTTTGTAGCCAAAATTTTTGTATCTTGATTCCCCACAAAGGCTTCTAAGTAATCTCACAGAAGCTCATTCATTAAAAGCCTGAGAACCAACCAAAATTTTCACCGTGAAAATGGTATTTCCCACATCCAGACCCGAGGTGGGGCTCCGGCGTGGGAAGCCTGGCAGAGAGGGCATCATGTACAGGAGTCACCTCCAGCCTAGGGAACTGCCAGCCGGCAGCCACCCTTCCCAACAATCCTGAGGCCTCCACATGCTTCAGAGTGGTACCCCAAGAAACCGAGTCCCAGAAAACATGCACGTGTCCTTTCCATAGAGACTTTTGCGGGTGTATTCCTGTTTACCACATCCTAAACCACAGTGTCTTAATTAATCAAGCACATGCAGAGTGGAAAAGTATCTGATATTTAGATAATTATACTAAAGGGTTTTGCTTTCTTAAAAACTAAATTAGGAAGATGTCCTTTGAGAGAATCATGAAGGAATATAGGAAAAAAAGTGATTTGGGAGTTTCTGTAAGTATTTTTAGAAGGAAAGATACAAAAAGACAAGAAGCAAAGCGAAGCATGACCTTACTTCCTCCAGCCCTTCCACAGCTGAAAAGAAAACCCAGATCCACCAGCAAGCAGCACAGGGAGCTTGGCAGCAGCTTCATCTGGAGTTGCCAGCCCTCGGGAATATCTGGGCTGCCCTTCATGGAGCGAACAGGTAAATACACTGTGGACTGCCTGGTCAGTGGGATGACGTTAGCCTGAGCTAAGAAGAAATGAATCTTCAAGCTGTGAAAAGCCTTGGAGGAAACGCTAACAAACATTGTAATTTCAAGGGGCCATCAGAACTCTCTATGACTTCTGTTCCTTTGCTGTTAACTTAAAACCAATGTAGAAAAATAAAATGTCATAGAAGGTGATGGCACATGAGTGTAGGCCCAGCTACGTAGGAGGCTGAGGCAGGAGGACTGCAAGTTCAAGCGCAGGCTGGGCAGCTTAATAAATCCCTGTCTCAAAAAGTTAAATTACAAAATTCCTTGGGCTATAGTTTGGGGAGGAGCATCTGCCTAGCATACACAGGGCCCTGAATTCAATCCTTATGCCACAACAGTTAGTCAGATGATGGATAATAGATAGATAGATAGATGATAGATAGATAGACAAAATATATTTAAATTTTACACAGCTAGTAATGTACAGAAGAGAAGAGGAGGAAAGTGCCCATTATTAACTTATTACCTTAACAATAAATAGTTTTGTTTACCAAGTGAGGCCCCTGAGTCCGTAACCACCATGTACGGGTAATTCCACATCACAGCACAAAGCAGAAGGGACGTCACCCAGATGTGCAGACCTCCCCCCAGGCAGGTGGCTGGAGCAAGCTTCCTGCCATAGGTTTGCCACAGACCCATGAAGCCTTGCACACCGGTGTGATTCCGTGGGTGCGTGGTAGTTAAGTGCTGCCCTAGCCTCAGTGGAACCAGAGGTTCGGTGCCCTGTGGTCTGTAACCTCACTTTTATTTGCAACCTTTTAAAGCTTTAAATTGACATTTTCCTTCTGTAAATCCTAACTGTGGTCACCAGGGAGCTGCTGGGACACACGCTGAGCCCGAATATGTTCACGTCAGATCCCACTTGCTTTGTGATGGTAGCTGACCCTGTGTGCTGCCAGGTTCTGCAGCACCTCTGCCTGGTGCTCCTCGCAGGGTACTATCAGCTTCATCTGCCATGAAATAGCTCCACTTTGTCCTTCTCAGGAAATCACTCACTAAATGCGCCAAACAGCCAAGACGGGAAGTATCTTAAGGAGACAACAGTTCAGGTGTGCCGCTGTGACTGCCCAGTAATAACTCTGCAGAGGTTGTTCTCTCACACTACCTTCCTGAAGCCTTAGCTCAGGAGGAATTGCAGGTCACTCCTAAACTGAGGTTGAGGACACAGAATCAAAGCATGTCCCATCAGCTTCACACAGACTCTGCGGGAGTTAGGGGACCGGGAGTAGCTGCCAGGATAGGGGGACCCCAAATGTGAACTGTACATGCACTCAAGGACCCACATCTGTCTTCCACACAGGTTTGGTCATGTGCAGATTGGAACCTTCAGAGTAATGTGTTTTCCCACATAATGAAAAGATGCAGTGCCTGTCCCTACAGAACTTCCCAAGCCACACTGCTCTCTTGATACTAACGGGGCCAAGACACGCTGCCCCAAAATACGGCCCTTTGCATTTGAGCCGAGACCCTTACTCCTCCAGCCTCATCTCCAGAGCCACCCACATAGGAACTCTGATCTTCCACGGAGGCGGGTCGCAAGACCCTCACCCCAGAGCACCCCACAGCCAGAGGAAAGGACACGGACCCAGAGGAGTCTGCACAGCGGGCTTGCTGCACCCCAGCTTACCCCCTGGGTCACACCCTTCCTCTCCAGTTGGGTTCCCTGCGAGCACTTCCTGTCTCCCGCAGCCCCCATCTGTGGAGGCTCCTATGTCTGCCTCTCTCTTGCTAATCTGCCTTTTGTTACAGCTCTGCAACCAAGAGTCCCCCAACAGAAGAGCAAAGAAATCTCTTCTTTCCTATGAACTGCACCTTCCAAAATGCAAAGTGAGCCCCACGCACTGCTTAAAGGGAGGCCTGGGATCGTCCTCTGCTCCGGGCAGAGGACAGGGGCCGCACAGGCAGACGCTGCACCTACTCGAATACTGGATGGAGAAGCCCGACTTGCTGATGAAGAAGTCGCTGTCAAACTGCAGCGTGAGCGAGTTGAAGGTGCTGTGGATGTCCTCCGGCAGCGCCGAGCCGCTCCACTCCTTCAGGAGGATGTCGCTGTCCACGGGGCCGTCCCACACCTTGAGGATGTCATGTGCCAGCTCCGTGTCAAAAACAATGAAATGCAGGCTGCGGAGAGAGAGCACAGCTGGTGTGTTTGCCTGACTCCGGCCCTGAGCTTTGACGCTCCCAGCCACCTTCACTGTGACAGAGCCAAGCCCCCCAAATAAACAAATACGTGAGCCCAGGCATGTGTGCCAGTGGAGAAGGAGGGAGCCGAGGCACAGGCTTCGACCCCTGCGCGCAGTTACACTGGAGACAGCACGGGCAGAGCCGGTTGAGCTACCCGGGCGAGAATCGCACTCCTGTGCAGGGAGACAGCTCTGCCTCGGCCAGGACCACTGGGCGTTTTTCTAATTCAAGCAAGGGCACCCAGTGCTCCTTCCAGCCAGCCTCAGGGCTGCTCTTCCGAGGCCCAGGAGCGGGTGGCAAGCACAGCAGGAGGAAGACGCCCCAGTGACCTGTGCACACCCGGTAGCTCCCCAGGGCCCAGGCTGGCTCTGGCCTTTGTTTTCCTGCTTTAGCCCCAGGAAACCCATATTGTTGGAAGTTCCAACACAGAGGCCGAGGGTCAGGTACAAATTCCCTTCCTCAGGAGGCTCACAGGGTGGGGAACGGTGAGCTGTGGCCTGACCTGGGGACCCAGATGCCAGGGCAACACTCAGGCCAGCAGAACCCACTTGTCTTGCGCCCCGCACCCAGGGCCTGTAGTTTTCCCTGCTCATTGCGCATGGACTGTAAGGGAAATAAAATCATAACACACGACGCACAGACCAATGGCTACTTGACTACTTCATATCGTGCATACAGCACATGCAGCTATGTCCAGCTGTCCTGTTCTGCACACAGCGTGAAATACGCAAGTGCTCTTTAAACATCCTATCATCTATCTATCATCTGTTATCTATCTACATCTATCTCTATCCTTTTTTTGAGACAGTGTCTTGCTCTGTAGTTCAGGCTGGCTTTAAACTCAGTATGTAGCCCAGGCTGACTTCAAACCTGTGATGATCCTCCTGCCTCAGCCTCCTGAGTGCAAAGATTGTGGATGTGCACCACCACGCATAACTAAAACATTCAATATTAAACACTGCCTAGATACAGAGAGAGGTGCAGAAACAGTAGACACTTATGTTCCATCACTGCCAATGTATTCACATCTATTGGCTCTAAGTATTTTAAGTGAAATCTTATGGACACACCTCTACTGTCCCTGCCTCCACAGGCTTGCACTCGTTCCCACACCTGCAATGTGCAGTTCCATTTAAACTCAATTTTTCAGGGCTGGGGATTTAGCTCAGCGGCAAAAGCGCCTGCCTGGCAAGTGCAAGGTCGTGAGTTCGGTTCCCGGTACCAGAGAAAAACCAAAAAAAAAAAACAAAACAAAAACAATAAACTCGATTTTTCATATGTGTAAGTGTGAACAGTGCAGTGTGTCCCTGTGTGAGTAACAGAGAACATGCCACAAGTATCCTTTGGGCACGTGTGTGCTCGGATCACGTTCAGTGTGCTTTTATAGTGAGCACAGTGCGCGTCCTCCGTGCTGAGTAACGTAGGGTTAGTTCACACAGAGTTAAAAGCATGGGCCATGTCCTCTGCTAAAGCACAGTTCGGGTCGTTTTTCCTGAGGCTGTGGTGCTGCAGTGGGCATCCTGGAACACTGACCGAGGGTCTCTCTAGGTCCCTCTAGGTGGCAAGAAGGAAAATCAAGTCTCTCTCTCCTGCCTGTAACTACCTGTTGCTTCACAACAACACATAAGCGGTGTGTGAGCAAAATTCCGACGGGTGTGGAACAGCCTGCCTTCCTGCAGCGCCTGCTGAGGCAGAGCGCGAACACAAGTGAAGCAGACTAGCAGAGAACACGCCCTTAGCAGGTGGACGGCACAGCTCACAGAAAAGGAAATGCAGTGTAAGATGGGCACTGGGGCTTCGAAGACAGGGTGGCAGGGAGACAGAGGTGTCTGGGCAGAGCTTGCGAAGGTAAGGCTGCTTGCTATTGTCCCCATGAGGGGTAAGGACAGGGTAAGCTGGGTAGTACCTTGAGGGAGGGCCTTCGGCATTAGGGGACATCCAGGAACCAAGGGCAGCCAGGAAGGAAATGAATGGCTGAGATCAGAAAGAGACAGGTGCTGGGGGTGCAGAGGGAGGGCTAAGACAAGTGGGCCTTACGTGGGTTCTGCTAGCATCTCAGGTCTCATGCTGAGGGATGCAGCGGGGCACTACTCTCGCTCTGTGACAGTAGCCTAAAGGACTGTGTGCTCTCCGTGGGGTCCTGCACAGGCTACAGGACAGCCTCATGCTGCCCAGCCCAGCTCCGCAGCGCGGTGCGCAGGCCTCAGGCTGGGGTGCTCCTGGGAAGCAGAGAGGACGGCGCGAGGCAGAGAGAGAGAATGAGGCCAGGTCACCGTGGGCGCTGCTGGAGAAGCCAGGAGGGCGAGTTGCCCCGAATCCAGCCGAGGAAGGGGCAGGAGGGACATACAGGGGGCCGCGGGAACCGGGCAGTGGGCTTGAAACCCGCACAGGCTGCAGCAGAGCCAGCACACAGGCCACTGCGACTGGAGGTGGGTCCAGAGTTGGCCATGTGGGCACCTGTGTGTCCAGCAGAGCAAGGCTTCCTGAGCTTGACAGGAGTAGCAGAGGATGTGCGGGACCAGGGCCTGTGCCTGGTCACCGACTTTGTGTGTGTCCATTTCCAGGAAGTCCTTTGTGCACTCATCCTTTAGTTATCAATTACATAGTGTGTTTCATATTCTTGCTAAATGATTTACCATTTCAAGAGAATACTCCGCTACTTATCACACTAGGAATGTTTTGTATTCTCTTATGTTTTTGATCATCATAAATATTATCAAATTCTATTGAATTATTATTCTACACCTATTTAAGTGAACACATTTTTTTCTTAATATGCAAATTGGATGAACTGTAAATCTCAGTTCTTACTCTTTTCCTCCTGTGCTATATTTGTACTTTGATAACAAGTTCATTTCAGTAAAAGTATTGCACAGTTTTTTCTTCTTTCTGGAAGATTTTTCCTAGTATATTAGTAAAAGATATCTATTATCTTGATTATTTCTGAAAATGATTTCTATTGTATCAGTATATCTCTGTTTCTCTTCCAATTAGTAATCATTTGGGCCTCCTGTATTTGATTTTAATAAATCCTGTCAGTTACTTGTGTATATAATGGAGCTTCTTCAAGACACCCTTTCTGGATTTGTTAATTGAATTTTAAAAAATTAATTTCTACCTGCAATTGTTTTTCCTCTTTGGTTCCCTTATTTTGTTCTGATGCTATTTTTCAAACTTTTATTATCTGACTTTTTAGCAATAGTTTTTCAAAGTATCGTAGTGTAAGATGAAATACAAAATCTGTGTTATTATTAATTCTAGAAGTTAAAGTGAGATAGGCAACTGGCACTCATCGTAGTCATCATTGTGGAATTATTCATTTATTATTTATTATTATTATTTATTTCATGCTGTGTGCACACAGTGCCTTGCTCAGACTAAGACAACGGAGAAGACAGAAGGAAATTTCTGTGTGGCAAAGCCTTTCAAAGTAACGTGAAGTGGTTTCCCAGAAAATGTGAATTATCAAAATCGACTCAAGAAGGTCAATATAGATAAATGTATCAAAATATTTTAAAGTCCGTGGTAAGCTTAAGAAGAATAAAGGCTCCAAACCAAAAATTACATATCTGTAAATATTAATATGTAGAAAAGTGTTCATTGAAATAAATAATAAACATTGTGTCTCTCAGGCTGGTGACGGACAATGAAGTTTACTATACAACATGGCAAACAGTATTAGTCCGGAGTGGTTACCAGCACAAAGAGATATGACGAGAAAGCCGTAAGATTTGAAAAAATGAAGTAAGACCCTTATTTACAGATAACATTACATGTAAATAAAACTGCCTCCAAGTCCTGGGTGTTGTTTTGATATTTCTGTTTGTAGTAGCACAGTCTCACTGCAGTGCAGTGGAGAAAACATTGACTTCAACAAATACTGAGATTTTGTGATAGAAAAAAGATGGGAGGTTAAATATGCATAAAAGGAAATTTAAAATAATATTTTTATAACTTTGGGAATTCCAAGTCTTTTCATCTAAATAGAAAAGCCCTAATAAAAACACTGAACAAAATATGTAACAGAGCAAAATTTAAATGCAGGTAAGAAGCTGAATGATCACAAATAGAAATGAATAAAAATAATCCAATACATTGGAATGCAATATTTGTGTTTAACAAAAGAAATTATCATGAGATTGAAAACAATACTATAGAACAGAGAATATAATATGTAAAATAAGTAATCAAAAAGAGATAACATTCAGGAAATTTAAACATCATATATAAGCTAACAAGAAAAAGGCATTCTAGAACAAAGAAAAAAGTAAAGGGCAGAGACTTGAACTGCCATTGCACCAAAGAAGGTGGCTATTCAGCCTGTGAGAAGTGCTGACCTTGGCTAGCCATCAGGGAAATCGGAAGAAAACCGACCGCGCACCTGGAAGGTGGCTACAGCGAGACAGAAGGTCAGTGCAGAGCGTGGTTGGGAAGATGGAGAACCTGGGAATCCCAAAATGGGAACAGAGGCAGAAGCAACCACATTAGGAGACTGCAATGGGACCTCCGAAGGCCAGGAGTGTCGCTCACCACCCCCATCTCCCACCCCAGGGCACACCGAAGAGGAACACTGACGCGCCTCCAGCAGAGGACAGGTACGGCACCTCCAACGCGCACCCCTGCAGTCACCCAAGCTGGGTCAAAGCCATCCCCTGCTCATCAACCGTGGGTGTGGACAATTAAATAGCAGAGTATTCCCGACGCAATGAAATATCCACATATATCCAGGGGTGAGGGCTCAGGAAGTCACAGAAGCCACAAAGAAAACCACTCCACGTAACTCTACTTTTATGACACTCAAATTTAGCAAAACCCTTCTGAAGTCAGAACTGTGATGATGTGGAGGAGGAGGAAGGGTGTGAACAGAGATCAGGGCCCATCCGCTTCTTTCCGAGCCTGGGTGCTGGAGATGCAAGGTGCTCTGTCTGCACCAGCCACACACTTGCGATGTGTGCACCATGTGTGCTAGGCGTCAGTGGGAGTGTACACAGATGCACAAACGTGCCCTGCTATGTGTGTTTCCCCACCTTGGAAAATGTGCTGTAAGTCCAGCTGGAAATACGGTGAAGCAATATTCATTTCTTACTTGAGTAAAAAACCACTGAAAATCAAAGTGGCAAACACTGTAGGACTGTGTCGGAGAGATTAAAACACACCTTTAAGAAGGATGGTCCCATCCCTAAGGACCTCGCAGTTGCATGCGATACTGGAAATGCACACAGCAGGGTGCTCAGTGCCACCAGGTTCACAGCGGGACAGACAGGCACCAGAGCAGTGGCACAAGGCCTGACTCTGACCCCTGGGGCAGGGAGGCCCCTGTCAGCCTCTGAGAAGTAAGGAAGGGGCTTCAAGTAAAGGCAAAGGCAGGAATTCAGTGAAGAAAAAAGTGCAAAGTAAGAAGTCGCCAAACAATACAGTCAAGTGTTAAAAAAATTCACAATGAAAAGGTTATAAACAAATACAACTAATTGAACATTTTAAAGTTTTGTTTTCCCCCACCAGATGGGAACAGGTTAGCATGACCTTATTTATCTGAGGGAGGATGAAGGGATGTTGGTTCTTTTGATATTCTAGCTGCAGCCACAAATACTCCTCTCAGAGCACATTGGTAGTGAGTATAAAACTCAAATCCACCGCAGCCCAGCTGGAAACTGACCCTACAAAGTGCTGCTGAGGAGTCAGGTGGGTGGTTGCACTCCTCATAACGGGAAATCGAAACCCAAACGTCCCAAGGATGACGTTTAAAGAAAGTGTGGTACAGTCAGGCAACGGAATCCTGTTGATGGCTGAATAGAACGAGGCAGGTTGCAAGTAAGGACAAGGGCATTTGATCATTTATTAACTCAAAGAAACTTCAGTGTATTATTTTTATAAAAAAACTTGAACATATGATTCAAATTTTATACACCTGCCTTTGACTACAAAAATTAGAAAAATACACACCACATTTTCAATGTAGTTATCTTTGGGTCCTAGGATTACAGAACACTTGTTTTAGGTTTTTCATTTTTCTATATCTGATCATTTCAGAATATGGGAAAGGTCACCTCCCAAGCCATGCCAGAGAGTTTGAATTTACTTTGCATTTGATGAGCAGTCAAAATAGTTTAAGTGGTCAACTGGAATGAGCAGATTTGTCCTATAGAAGTGTTTACCATGAGACAAATGAAAATGTTTATACATTTGTTTTTTTTTTTTTTTTTGAAGTACCAGGGATCGAACTCAGAACCTTGCGCTTGCCAGGCAGGCACTTATGCCACTGAGCTATAGCCCCAGCCCTGTTTTGTGTTGTTTTGATTTGTCTTCATTGTTGTTTGGTTAGTTTTTTAAATTTTTAAAATAAAAGAAAGAAAAGGGGCAATGTGAGGCGGGTTGACTCCTGGCTGGGCCGAACCAGTCTGCACATCCACAGCCTGTGCCCTGTGTGCTCCGTGCACCGTGCGTAGGCTGGGCACAGGGGCTGGGCGTCAGCACCCAGCAGGGGAGCCAGATGACGGCCATTCTCCTTTTCCTTCTGTTTGCTGCTGGGGTCTCTAAGATTCATCAAAAATAGGATCAAACTTTCTCTAACTGCTAAATCAAACCCTAGCACTGAGGAGAAACAACCAGCCACTGACAGACCGAGGGAGCTACTTTCTTCAAAGGTCTGCTCAAGGGGTAGTTGTGAGAACCTTGACGAATTATTGACATGCCATTAATGTTCTTAACACTGTGTTGGCTTATTAAAGCAAGTTCTCTTCAACTATATCACCTAAGGCAGTTTCCAGTGGACAGCTAGGAACGGAAGCACATTTGATGTGTGTTTTATAGACTTGCAGAACAGCAGTTAAAACCAAGGAGTGGTACACTCTGGTGATTGTGTAGCTCACAGCTCTAAAACTGCTTGCTGTGGTGTCTATACTTCTGTTACCTTCATCCCACAAATCAGAGCAGTGCTCAGGTGAAATACACTGAGCATCATAGGGAATGTTCACACAAAACCTTAACTGGGCTGACTTTATTGTAATGTTCTTTATTAGGCTTTTAATTAACTTTGGCCCACGTGACTGCTTTAGAGCACTGTATTAAAATGACAAAGCTTCTCCACCCAAGTATTCCACACCAGACCCTGCTCCAAGCCTTGAGGAATTCCAAGGCGACCTTGGAACAGTTGTCCAGAAACCTGAAGCTGGACCTGCACACTCTCTGAGCCTTGTTTCTTCTTGAAAATGGAAAACATGTAAGATTTAAGTCTTACTATCAATAAGCAGTGCTGAATTCAACTTACACTAGGACATTTTAACACTTACAAATAATCCTGGTCCGGTGTTAGCACTAGTGATGCTCCCTTCATGGTCCGGCAGAGTGTAGGAGATTTTGTCTACGTTACCAAGATAATAGCTAAGATTCTGTGAAGTAGCAGGGCTCATGTTTATATAAACACACTTTTAAGTTTAGAATTATGTATGTATACTTTTAATTATTTTATTTTCCAAACCCCTGTACTAAAATTGTTTATATTGTATTATTGAAGAATGACTCAGTCACCAGGATACATGGAAATAAATAATTAGCTTGGTTAATTCAATACAAATACTGATAGTTTTTGCCAAACTTCCTTGGTAGGAAGGAGTTCCTGCCTTAAACTAAAGAGAGAAGCTCAGAAATCTGATAGTGTCGGCTCTCATCCGCAGAGGGTGTGGATGAGCAGAAAGTTTTTCCAGAATACAGTACCGCGCAAAGTGCAAGGAACAATTTTCAACAGTGCTTACAGCTATGCTAGAAAAGGTGTGCATTTATTGTTACTTCTCATAGTTCCTTATTAATTCCCTTCCTCTTTTGGAATTTCAATGTTAATGAAGCTCTAGATGTGCCCGGAACAAGAGAGTTCTTTACTTACCTGGTTTGCTTTTAGGGAGACACAGTGCTTGTTCTAATGCTAGGAAAGGAACCGTGAGGGAAATGGTGAGAAGCCCAGTTGGAATCCTCCGGAAGGAAGACAGGCTGTTCACAGGAAGTGATCCCAGACTCACTTCAGCACATTGCGAAATGGCCATGCTCTCCTCTGGGCATCAGCAAATGTAGCAAACAGAAATTCTTGAATTTGTCTTTTCTTGCTGCTCTGAACTTTCTACCATCACTCGCTTTCTCAGTGAGGGAAGAGGAAAGATAGGCTCCAGCTGCCCCAGGCTGAGGAGTCACCAGAGCCCAGCCCAGTTCACCCAGGCTGGAGACACACAGACAGCCTCCAAGTCATGAGCTGAGGCAACTGCAGGAAAAGCCACTCAATTTAAGGGGTGTTTTGTTATGGAGCCAAAACTCTCTCCGTGTCTCTCTCTCTCTCTCTCTCTCTCTCTCTCTCTCTCTCTCTCTTTCTCTCTCTCTCTGTATCTTCCTTGCATATACCTTAGCACATGACTTGGAAAGTTAGCCAATGGAGGTGGTGAGACATTCAGCCACAGCTTGCCATTTTCTCCTGTATCTCAGATCATTACCCCCAGAGCACATGGACTGCACCCTGTGCTACAGGAGGAGAAGGAAACCCTTGGTCTCACATCGCCAAGACTGAAGCCCCGCAGTACCTGATGGTCCTCCCTGGGTCAGCCTCCACGGTCCAGGTACAGTGCAGGTTGTTATCATATGGGGCTGGGTAGCCAGGGGATAAGATCCGTCCAGACGTGGCTGTGTGGATGTAGCCTCCACATTCCGCTGCAAAAGACACAGACATGGGCCATTGTCTAGGTTTCTTTTTCTTTTTCCCGCCTTTTCCCCGGGGCCTTGCACAGGCTAGGCAAATATTCTACCACGGAGTGCCCTCCTCAGCCCCTTTTCCATCTTTATTCTGAGACGGGGTCTCACTAGGTTGCTCAGGCTGACCTTGAACTTGTAAACCTGCACCAGTATATCTAAGTTCAGTTTTACTTCTCTTTAAAAAAGAAAATGGTCATGTGTGTATTACAGACTCAGAGAAAAATCACAGTCCTCCACCTGTGTCAGTTTTACCTTGACAGAAAGCTTTTATTCTCTGTATTATTCAAGCTGTGTGTGTAAAATAATGACACACACACATGATAATTCTAGTAATAATTGTGCAGAAGAAATCTGTTTTTCAACTCAGAACACACACACACACACACACACACATACCGCACCCCTCTTAGCGGAGCAGGAGCCTAGTGACTCCTCCTCCTCCTGCTGTGCTGCAGGAAAGCTCAGCTGTGTCACAATCACCCTGTGCCGGTCTTCCAGGACCCCGGCCGCCCGGGGGACTCACCTACACAGGACGGCACCGGCTTGTCCCACACCCTCCGGTCCCCACTGAGACAGGTGAGGGTGCCGCTGCCGTGCATGGCGTAGCCTGGGTTGCAGCTGTACAGGACCATGGTGTCTGTGAAGTGGCCCTCGTCCCGGATCCGGTAGCCGTAGTTGGGGCTGCCGGGGTCCTCGCACTTGACCAGATCGAAGCCTAGGAGACAGGAGCAGAGGGTGAGTAGATCCCAGTGCATGCAGTCAGCCCGAAGTCAAGGCGAGGGCAGCGGGCTGTTGCCCCTTTTGACATACATGGGTGTAAATCGCTGTGTCACAGGAGATGCAGTTGTTTGCTTTCCCCTGACCAAGAACCCCTAGTGCGTCTGCACGCACAAACGCACGCACACGTACACACGTGCGCGCCCTGGCTGGGGATGATGTGCGAGCCTGGCGAGGGAGTGGCCAACGTTTATTCACTGTAGCAGTGTCTCCCGTCCTCCGTCACAGAGGGGACTCACTACGGACTTTCTTCAGTGGACATGGACGCTGTCAGCGTTGGGCCAGCGCTTGCCCTGGGCATCACTGAGTGGTCTCAGAAGTTCACAGCCATAAGCTCCCGGTGGTTTACAGATATTAATGCTCACGACTTTATTCCAAATATGCACCCCCTCTGCATGGACAGTGCATGTCACCAAAGCGCTCAGACCCAAATCTGCGTTTCTTCTAAAATTACCGAGACGGAGCTTTTCCCTCTGCCCTCGTGCTTGCCTCGAAACTTTTATTTGGAGAAAGGAAGGAAGAGAAGAAAACCAAAGAAATGAGCAAATAAAGATGCCCACCACACTTTATGTGAGTGAATTTTTTAGACAATTGTCTTTTGTATTGTTTCCATATCTCTTAATCTGGAAAACTGTTTTTATAACCACATCCTGCCCTGCCAGCATAAGAACACAGGTGATTAATGGAGGTGCGGTCACCTCACCCTGCAGCTGTGCTCGCTTCTCCTGACACTTTTATGGCTTCTCCAAAAGGTCACTTGGGGAGCTGAGGGCACAATGGAATTTATTTTGTATAAAGCCCCACGCTTGATTCTTAAATGCCTCTTGGCCGACCCAAATGTGTGAAATATATTCTTCCCTGTCAGAGGCTGGGAAGTATCTGGCCTCTCCAAAACTGAGTTTTCCAATTATTAACTGACTGAAGAGAACTGTGTTCTCTCAGCACTTCCCAGCATGAGATTGTTCATCCTCGGCCGCGGAAGGAGTAGTCCACATCTCTACCTATGGAAAGCGGTGGAAGCACAAAGGCCAGGAATCCACAGCTTCTAGCGCGTGGTGTGTCCTGCGCTACGGGAGCAGAGCTCAGTCTCCCTCAGGGGACCATGGCACAGCCTCACCAGCCATGCTGGGCCCTGGGGCCAAGAGCTGGGGCCTCCTCCAGCCCCATAGTGGGCAGACCCAGTCTGGCCTGCAGGCTCACCCTGAACCCTGGCTCCATCCACATCTAGGATCATGGCCTTGGTGTGTGGTCTCTTCCACCCTGAAATGAACCAAGCTTTGCTTGCTGTGGGTGCAAAGAGCAACGCACAGCAGTCATCTGCTGACACACTCCACCCTGCTTCTCACTGTTAATGCCACGAACTGGACTGACGTGTAACAGCAGAATTCTGAAGCGGCAGTGTACAATTCTAAGAGGTCTACGCTGTACTGTTTCAGGAGAAGATTTTGCCATGATTTCTTTTAAATCAAGATTTTAAAAGATACTGTATAAATCCACAGTTATTCCTCCAAAGAAGAGCTACTTCCATTATAATAGGAATTGAAAAGACATTTTAAATGATTAATCTTAAGAATTCTAAAGAGTAATAACATGAAAAATACAGAAAGTAAACTTCTCTCCTTTACAGCCACTAGTTTGTAAGAAAACAGTGTACAAATTCCATTTCTGTATTTCTTTATGCCATAGACACTTAAAAGCCTCAAGTTATTTCCGTCAAAACATTATTAAGAATTGCAGTCAAATGTTGAATACTTAATAATTCTATTTTTCTGCGTTCCCACCATTTCTTCTCAAGTCATAAGCGCAAGAAGGACACTGTGAACAAAATGCTCCAGTCAAAACAGAATCCAAACATCAGGCTGATAAAATCCCTACTCTAGAGCTTTGGAGTAATTAGTCATGCTTAGCATTCTTAAGACTTAAATCCTGTATCTCTTTTAAATCAACAGATACTGGAGTTACAGCAGGCTTCCTTCTGTCGAGTGTTTGGACTAATTCTTGACTCCCGAGTAATTACAATATTTCTCTATATAGAATTTGTTTCCAGCTTAACCTGGTTTTTGTGTCCCGCTGGGAGTGAGGACGGCTGTGGGGTCTCCAAGCTTGGGCGAGCAGGGACAGTGTGGCTGATGGAGACACTTGTGATTTGTGAGTCTCCAGATGCTTTTTCCATGAGCAACTGAGATAGTCACTCATTTATGGAAACCTACTATCTCACAACTTTACCTAAGACATTTCAGTTGGGATAATACTATAGTTTGGTTAAATACATCTCTTAAGAGAAATTGTCATTACCAAAATATGGACATTTTTTTCTCACATACATGCAGTAAAAGGAGAAGTAGGTTGAAAAAAATCAAACAGTCACTTTGTCGAGTCTTTGCAGTTATCTGCAAAGACATGGAGGTCAAGATGGTGGTCAGTGGTTAAACTAACTCCGTGGCCCACTTGTGAGATAAAGTTAATTAAGATCGAGCTTCCTGAATTGCTTGATGGACCTGTGTTTCACAATACAGCTCTGATTATCCAAGATGAACCTGGATGCAGTGTGCAAGTGTGTGTCTGAGTGTGCTAAACTATTAAATTATGTATCTATGCATTCTTAATTTGACCTGCAATTGATTTCAGATTGATTTGTTATCTACTCCTTCCTCTAACTCATTTCATTTCCCCCACATACGAAGTCTCATTATCATGTTTATTATTTTGTGACTATGTGAAGAATCCCACATGGAAAGACACAGCAAACTTCAAAAACAGCAGCTCTGGATATTGACCAAATCAGAACATAAATGCTAAGTTCTGAGCTCCAGTTTAGACATCAACAAGTTAGAGTAAAATATGGTAATCAAAGTAACTCTCTGTTTCTGTGATACCATCTTGTTCTTTTATCAAGCATTTACATAGGACTAGGACATAAGAACTCCAAGAGTCAACCTTGAGATATTTCACAGTTCTAGATCTGCTCCAGACATCCAAGGAGACCTGGGTGTTCCCTGGTCTTCAGCAGAGCTCCAGTCATTCACATAGTACCAGCTCTGAGAAGTCTCCATGAAGGAATTCAGAATATTCACCTTCTTGCTGATCTTTGAACCTTGGGGTTCAGGCGTTGGAGCAAGTTTGGGGTGAAGCAACTTCCTGGAGGCCATAGAAGCAGGAGGAAGTGATCTCACACTAAGTTCATCTTGCACTCACCCAGCCAGGGAACATTCCTGTGTGCACACGATGGTCAGAACCTAGGATCAGGGCTCTGACTCACTTTCTAAGAGCTGTTAACAGCGGTCGGAGCTGGAGCTGTATTGGACAGAAAGGCAGGCATAGCAGGGGAACCTCAGCACAGAAGCACAAGAGATGGAGTGTGGGCTGGGGTGAGTGAGGAGGCACGGGGGAGGCTGGTGAGGTTGAGCGGAGCTTGGAGAGGAGCAGGAGCAGGAGCAGGTCTGGAGAAATGCACAGGTGTGCTCACCTGGGGCTCCCCAGACAGCAGAGTCCACAGGGCAAGCTCCTGAGTCTGATTAAAGAGCTGGGGCCCAGGGAAGTCCAGGCACGCATCGTCCATCAGAGCAGGAGGCAGAGTGAGGGGTTTCCTGTGCACAAACTAATGCTCAGCCCTTGGAAGTCAGGAAGTACAGGAGGCGTTGGGGGCCACACACCTCCCAAGGAGATGGCCCTGTCCCTTGGAGGGGACACTGACCTTCTAAGGATATAAATCATGCCCCACTAATTCCCCTTGGAAGGCCCCTCCTGGTCCAGAAAGGTGCTCCTCCTGGGGCGCCCCTGTCTGAGCTCCTGGAGTCATCTCTATGGCAACAGGACACATTCTGAGAACCCTTCCCAAGTAATCTCCTCCCACCTGATTACACAGGCTCCCATGATTTTGCCAAACAAAACCAAAAAAAAACCCCCAAAACCTAATAGGACTGAAAATGATTTTCTGCTCACTGAGTGTTTTTCTTCACTGTTCATTAGAAAATTTGTTTTCATTCCCCTGGGAAATTTTTCAATAGTAAGTTAGGCATAATAAACATGTCCATGCCAAATTCCCCATAGAAGTTTCCCCCATCTCCTCTCAGGGAGCCTCAGGTCCTGAGCCTGGCTCCCTCTGCTCCCGCTCCACTCTTATTCCTGGCCCAAAACAGTCTGAGAGAAAAGCAAAGTCCCGCACAGACAGATGCTGTCTAAAATCCCTGTGCCCAGGGAATTCGGTAGGAGGACTAATAAGGGGGTGTCCACTGCAGGAGAGAGGCTGGGGACAGTCACAGCAGTTAGAGGGGGGACATGGCACAGATGAAATAGGCCCTGGAGCCTTCCCAACCTACGCCTGGCACCCCCTCCCATACCTCACTCTTTTGGTTCCCAGGAGTTAAATGTGAACAGAGAAGCCAGGCTTGGTGTCGCCTGCCTGTAATCCTAGCACTCTGGGAGGCTGAGGCAAGAGGAGCTCAAGTGCAGCCCATCCTAGACAACACAGTGACTTACAATGACCTTATCTGAAGTAATAACAATAAAGTGCAAAGGGCTGGAAATGTAGCTTAGTACAGAGACCCTGATTCCATCCCCAGAACTACAAAAAAAAAAAAAAAAAAAAAAAAAAAAAGTGAATGGATGTGAGTGTTTCTTCCTTCCCTCATACAGCAGAGATATTTAGACGCTTACGAGAAAGCAGGAAGCAGTATGAAAACACTGAGCTCTTCCGGAATAAACTCTACAGCCAAAATTGCCCACTGCGTGATGAGCACAGACGAGGGAGCCTCACCACCCAGCTGAGAACGCTCCCTGGGAGCCCCAGTGGGGCCGTCAGCATCGAGGCCACGGCTGGCAGGGCCTCAGGGGGCGCAGAATCTGCTCCAGTTTGGCTCTCCTTCTTCCAGACATCTTGTGCTGAGTGCCCACTGCCCCTCAGCTCAGTGCAGCCACTCCTGCCTGTCGGTCCTGGCT